CAAAGGGCTGACACTCTACTCATGTAGTAGACATTTTCATCTTTGAGTAAAGTTGGTGGGAGCCAAGGACACTGAGCATGTCTGTTTTTGAACAAGACTGCGGGGTGTGACATGTGAGCACCTTCCAAGAGTGTAGTGAGAGATGTATCCCATGGGGCTGCTTTTCACATCCTCTCATTTGGAGGATGTAACGTTTCAGCCTTTGCAGGGCTGGGGACTGGCAAGGTTGGGTATCGCACTTTCCCTGCAGCGGGGTCTGACCTATATGACAGTACCCCCAGGTTGTTCAGCAACTTAGCTGACTTGAAATAGAGCACTGGAACAAAATATGTTTTGAGTGATTTTTAAGTAAAAGCTAATGTGAAAATGTGGGAGTTTGAACCAATGTAAACACATTAAATTTAAAACGATTTTCAAATGTAGTAAAGAAAAAAATAGTGTTCCTGCTCTTGAAATTCCTAAAGGACACATTTTTCCTTCTGAGTCATGATTTAATTAGATTATATTTTATTAGACATTCTTTACAAATTTTAAAATACTGCTATTATACATGCACAAAGGAAAATCAGTTTGAACAACTGTATGTAGGCATTCATTGAAGTCAACCACAAAACAGGAATATTTTATGTCAGTTATCAATGTACTCGATATGTATATCTAAAGTGCATTGTTACAAAAAATATAGAAAGTCAGCAGCACCAAGATACGTTCACAAAATAAATACACCAGTCAACAAAATAAATTATGGTAAATGTGACAATAATAATTGTCTTAGCCTTAGCAAAAAAAAAAAAAAGGAAAAAGGAAAATTCACAATAACCAAATGTGCAGTTTCAGAGAGCAATGGGGGGGAAAAGGTTTTATTCTCAGCATTTACAATATTTACAGGTAATAAATATTTTAATACTTCCCATATGTTCACTATTACAGAATACTGCAATATGTCTTCCAAAAATCTCTTGTTGAAAATGTCAGCGCCTCCTGCAAAGAAAAAAAGGACAGAAAAATAGAAAACATAATTTTCACTTCAAACATATAGACATGAAATTAATAGCAAGAGTGCCACAGACTATAACGGGTGTGCCTTGCTAGTAAACATTTGCAATAATAGGGCCAGTTTAACAGTTTTAGACATCTTTTCAAGACATCTACTATATTTCTTTCAATGCAACTCAGGTAGCAGTATGAAGACCTGCAGTTTCTCACAACACTGAGGCCATCTATTCCACTATGTTGTACACTCAGAGAAACAGGAAGGGGCTTTAGTTTTCTTTAGAGCCTTATGCAAGAAGATTCCTCAGTGCTACAGGTAGAATAATTGTATCAACCTATAATAAATATGCCAAGTGCTAAAAAGAAAAAAATGCAGTTGGAGAAATAAGAAATTTGTTCTGAAGGCAAGAAAAAGAAAATCTTTACTGAACACCGTAGCAATCATGCCCCTGCTGTGTTAACTGCTTGGGTGTGATGCCAGGCTTCTGATTAAAACAGTCCCATGGGGCTTATTTGGTCTCTTTCCCACTGATAGACCACCTGTTATCAAGGGTCTGTTTATCTTAGAGGTATATATTTCTATGCTGCCGTGTACACAAATACATGCAGTACTTATGCAGTAAAGGCTGCTCAGGTCTTGAAGTCAACAGATCCTTGATAGCATGTCTCTAAGTGCTTGAATGAATGAAAAGACTATAATCCTGAAATTTTCCCTCTGCGAGCCAAAGAGTTGGTCCTGAAAGAAAATAAGCATCTCGTCATGTTAAGCTCTGACTCCTGTTGCATTCAGTCAAAGCTGAAAGAGTCAGCTGTGTACAGTCCTAAGATTTGGGTGTTTTCTAAGGGATGCTGGCAGCCTGGCGTGAGTTCCATACTCCTCCCTTCCTTGTGAAGGCATGAGAACAAAAGCGGAGCTTGCTCCTATCCCATCAGTATATTACTTATACTACAATATCATTTTAAGTTACTTCTTAGCGGTGCTGCAGAAAACGCCGAAGGGTTGGGCTTTTTTCCCTTCTGTCCCTGTGAACAGCACATTTCTGTAATGCACATTGGTTCTGTGGAAAACAGCTATAGGATGGAATGTGAAGCTATAGGATGGAGAGGGCTTTGCTCTGTTGCTGGACTGACTGCCGAAGCTGTGGGTAGCGTTCCACATGGCAGATGTGTGTGGGTGTGAGAGACAAAAAACCCCAAATCCTTGAGAGTTTAAAGGCGAGGGTGTGTGGGGGTGTGTGAGTGTGTGTGTGTGTGTGTTATGTGCTCATTGAAAGTGAGACTGCATTTAACGTTAGGGAGTCTACTCATTCAAAAGGTTTCTTAGGAAATTAGGTAATAACAGCTTAATTGAATTGGAATGGGAATATAGCTGGAATGTCCACGAGAAAGATATTTTAAGTGTCTGGAATGGAAATGCTAGCATGAAGCTCCTTAATAATTAACTAGTAATGTTAGGGTGTATTCAGGCTATATTACAATATGTATAATAATGGCACACAATTCATACAGCACGACTGTATATGTGTGTCTGCACTACACAGGCCTGTTTTTAAGAGGGTGACATTTTCAATTTGGCTTGGATTTTATGCTTTGTTTTAGAGTTTAAGCTAAGCCACATCTTGACAATGGGCTCTTTACTAATGACTACTTGCAAGCTGCTTTCTGTGATTTAGCCACAGATTTTGCAAGATTGGCTTCTTTTATGAGATACTTCCTGTAGTAAGTCAAAAGATCTAGAGAGCACATTATTTTTGGTCTTTTTTCTGACCTAAACCCCAAATTTTGGGATCGAGATTGGGAGGAGGAAATTGGCACAAGGATTTCAGTTCAGTGTGTTGAGCAGAAAAGCAGCACAAAGATACAGTGAAAAGCATGCTTGAAGTTTATCTTTGCACTTCCTTGACATTTGCCCTGCTGCATTATGCATATCCACTTCTTCACTGTAAAGTACTGATGCTTCTCCTATGCTGCAGCTAGCCTTCGGGGTGCTGCAAAGTAGCTTATACTGGTGTAGCATATGGAAATTCTGTCTGCACACACCTTCCTTGTCCTGCACCAGCAGATAGAGTAGAAGTTCCTGATTCAGCTCAGTACAGCTGAGGAATCAGCCTCACTCAGATGTGGTCACTCCTCCACCTAAATATGCTTGCCCACCGTGTGCCAACAACCACATAGACAACTGCATTGAACCTGACTCCCCCTATCTAAAGTACATGTCAGGGAGTTGGGACTTGTTTTCATTTAAAGTTTAGAAATTATATCTTTTGCCAGCCTACTGGGATAACTACCAGTTGATATACTAGCAGTTTCTTAAGAGCTGAACCAGCATATTATGCTCTGTACTTGTGAAGGAGGGATTTGATTTTCCTGTTTTATGGCTTCTCTTTGTTTAATAATCTTCAATTAACTATCTAAAATATAGATCTTCTTTAGTAATCTGTTTCTTGCCCTGGAGAAATACTGCTTCTTGGGTAATATCAGGAAGGCAAAGCTGGACTGCCTTTGGCAGTCTGGACTCCACAGTAAAGCCGACTGCCTTCAGCCATCCAACCATACTTGAAACAGAAAGGCTGAACTAGGAAAATCAACAGGGTGTACCTGCCATTCTTTTACATATCCTATTGGATATAAAACCAAAGACAGAATAGTAAGAAAAAGAAATAACACTCGAAATGCCATTGAAGTTTTTTTCCCTACATTCAAGATTTCTGTGCCAAAGACAGGTGCTATTTATTGGCTACCACAGTTCCTTAGCACCTGTTGAAATGTTGGTCTACTCCTGACCAGAGTCCCAGAGTGTGCCTTTCCTAAGGTACTGAGACAAACCAGCCTCTCATACTTTGCTACTAACTGCTACAGGCATGCTAACTGGTTTACAGTCAGAGACACTGAATGCCTAGCCCTGAATGCTGGTAACTCCTGTAGATGCCAGCAGAAGTTGAGGCAATGGAGCACGTCGCAAACTGTGGCCTGTAAAGCTTAACCCAAGACTGGATTTTAGTAAATCCTACTGCTGGCATCTCTTTCCAAGGGATTTATTGTGAGCAAGTGGCGCTTCCCTTATGTCTCTATTCTGTCAAAGTGAAGTAGAGGAGGAGAGAAAAGGGTAGGATTTTGCTGTTGAAAATGCAAACATTTGAGGAGAACTGAGGAGCGGACTCCTTGGCTTTGTCTGCAAGTGTGCAGACTTCCACTCAAGCTGAGATGACTGCAAGTGGATGAGTTGCTTGGGGCACCTAGGCTGAAGTCTCCAGCTCACCACTGCACTGAAACCCGTTCATTGTCACACATGAGCGAAGCACGTCTCTCTCCAAAAGCAAAGCTCAATATTTTCCAGCAGCAACGTAATTGTTTCACAAGCTGGCAAAAAGATGGAGCTGAATTAAAAAGTCCTAATGGCAGGGAAAATTTTATGGTGAAAGGCTGGTCTGCGTTGTTTGCAGATATTACTAAGAGAGAAATATTCCATGTTCTCCCCTAAGGTTAAACAGTAAAATGAAAAACTGTAAAGTAAGGGTAGGAAAGTTGCCAAAAAGGGGGGGTGTTGAGAGGGAGGAAAGAAAACTTCACCATTTTATAGATGCAGAGCCTTAAATAAAACTCAAAGCTTTCAATCTGCTGAGGCCCAAGTGTGGGACCAAGATCTGATGTGAGAGACACTACAATTAAAACAGGAAAGGAAATTTTAATGGCTATGATGTGCTTTCTTTTTACAGAAATAACTTTATTTACTACTCACTCAGCTTCAGAAAGCTCTTTTTGGCAATAAGTGGTTTACTTGAATTGTTTGTCATAGGAAAGAAAGATTTTGTCACCAGTGCAAAGTGGAAAGGGTACTCACCTCCAGAAAGCACCTTGAGACTGTGCACTGCTTGAAAAGCCACTGCTCAGTTATGGGCATAATGGTATGCTATTATCCCAGGATTGAGTGAGGCCTCGGCCTCTCACACCGAAGGATAACAATTTCAGTAAATATATGGTATGCCCCCCAAAAGGATATAGCAGAATTACCTTAAAGTGTGATTATGTGTAGTAACAGAGTTGTCCAAGAGTGGGCTCTCGGTCACGTCACTTCCGCACACGCCAGAATTCAGCCAAGCTGAGCGGGCTCTCCTCTTTTTCTTCTCTTGTTCCTTACGTTTTCCAGGCTTTGCTTTCTTTTTTTTCCCCGATACCTTCAGGGGCTGCTCCTTGTAGGTCTGCGATTTGTTTGTCTCCTGAGTTAGGTATCTGCCCTCATCTTCACTACCAAATCGGACAGGGTAGTTCTTCGTGTTGGTAGCAGGCTTAGGGTTAGGTGAAACCTCTGAAGTTGCACGGATTTCTGCAGTGTTGACACCTTCAATTAAATTTTGAAGGAATATTCTTCTTCGTAAGTCTTGGATTGACTTGCCCTTGTCATGCAATAGCTGGTGCTCTGATACAGCCCTTTTGCTAAAGAAAGAGAAGAGAGGAGGGGGAAAAAAACATTTAGGATTTGGTTATTGCCCAGTACTTGGCAGAGCTCCTCTCTCCTCTGGCAGTGGTGGCCACAGTGACTATGTACCAGCTCTCAGGCTTGGAGACATCCAGTTAAGTCAGGCTGCTGGAGCAAGTCCTGCTGCTCAGAGTAGCTGCTCCCTCCAGAGAAGGGAAAGACCTAAGCGGGTAATAATTCTCAGCTGACCGATCACATACCACTGGACCTGGAGTTGGATTAGTCACTGCTCTGTTCTAGGACAGCACTACGACTCTTAATATATCACACTTCAGGCAGTAAAAGCAGGAAGGCAGTTGTCAGAGATAGGAAAACTAAAGGGTCAGATAATGGAGCACTGCAGTCAAGCAAGAGAGGGAATAACAAGTACTTGTACTGAAGCCGGAAGCAGTGTTTATAAAGCATCATTCTAATAATTTTCTTCTGCTCAGTCATGTACTTCAAAAACATAAATAAATACATAAAAGTGCATTTCATTTCTAAATTTAAATAAGTGCAACTGCAGGAGCGTAATGGAAAAATGTTGGAATTTGAGTGCCTAAAACATAGGCACTTCAGTCCATAATGAGCTATCCAGAGAGGCAGCAGCCTGAGCATCAGCAGAGATGAGCCTCAGCCACTCCCGTTGACTTCACTGCTTGGCCACTTCTGTCTGATTATGGTTTTAGATGTCTTTCTAGTATTCCTTTAAGCCTGAACTTTTGGGGCCGAATTTCTTGTCTGCTGTGCTCTCTGAGTTTTATGCCAGCCTTCTTCAGTGGATCTTCTTCAAGAGCATCCTGGTTTGTTTGAGTGGGTCTCTGGTCCTTTTCCAGAGTTCATGACCTTTCGGTTCACTAACATCTGTCTTGTTTTCAAGGAACTGGGAGGCGGTTAGCTATCTGTCTTTTAGAGATGTTGTACTGGCAAAGAAGGTATGAAACGTCTGAGGAAAGAAGATACAAGTGGCACCTGGATAATAAATAACCGTGAGAAAATACATGCTTTTTCCTTGGTGTGGGATAGATGCACAGCTGCACTGTGAACCACAGAAAGAGCGCAAGCTGGGATTTTAGCTATGTTCCCATGAATGCTATAATACAGTTTATCCTTCCAATTGCCCTGCTTCAATGTGCTGAGATTGGCTATATATCCTCTCATCTTGCATCAGGGTACCGCATGTGACTGGATTCTTACTGGCCAAAGAAAATGAATTCACTGCCTTGCCTGTCACATAATCATTTGGTCAGTTAGCTGGATAAGAAGTTGTTTCTGCATGTGGGTGAAACGGGAGAAGATACATAACTGTGAATGAATATTCCTCCCTTCCATCCCATCCCTAATTATCCTGCTACATTTCCAGGTTTCAACATGTGGTGGACAAAGATAGTATGCTAAATGATCGGGAGTGTTCTGCAATTTGTCTTTCTCAGTCCCTTCAGCCAAACTCTTTAGATTTGTGATTTGATCAACAGTAGAGCTATTTGAAATTAGCAACTTCAAGTAGCACTGGTTTAAGAGCATTCCCTTTGCTTTTTCTCTTTGTAGAGCTACGCTTTTTGAGTATTGGGTTCAAGTGAGTTGGGTTCAAGTGAGTCGGGTTCAAGTGGTATTACATCTCTGTTATTCAGGGTAAAATTCAAACAGCAGCTTTGCCCCATTCCACAAGGAGACTGAAAGATGACTGTTGGTTTGCATGAAGTGATACAGTAGGGATACTTGCTCAAGATATACTCAGGTTTGTGAGCATACACTTGACCAAACATTGTCATAATCTCAAAATCAGTTTTGGATGACTTCAGGCTTCAGGGCGAGTATTTTATGCCCTTCAACTCTACGTCCCTAAGCAAAAATGCAATGTGATAGTACTGAGCTGAACCCATATTGTTTCATTCTCTTCAGTGCAGCTGTGACCATTAATGCAAGCTCAAGATCTCCCCCAGGAGAATTTTTTTGACCAGTGCACTCCCTGAAGCTCTCCAATAGCCATCTCTAACAACCTTCTCGTTAAGGTCAGTCTGATTTGCAAGTATGCTAATAAAACTAGCACCTTGGACTCCTCTGAGTGGCATACTTCTGTGCTGCTTGTCAAGCTGTCCATTGTGGCTCACATTACATTCCTAGCTTCAGTAATCTATTTTCCCAGGATATTTGCATGGGAAATGCCGTTCTCCTTTCACTCCTCTAGTTTATAAAAAGCATACAAAATCTCAGTGCTTTACTGAGTCTAAAACAGTATGCCTCATGTGATGAGCAAAGCTTTCCTACTGCCTCTTGTAAACTACCAAGGATAATTCCTTTTATCACAGACAACCTAAAGCTGCCTTAATCCTGTAATGTGTATTTGGTCAATTTACCCACTGTGACAAAATCTTGAATCTCTAAAGCCTGTTATTAAAGTTCTCTTGACTGAAAAGCTGTTCCATTTTACAGAGCTGAAACCTAAAGATTTGATTCCAGCACACACAAGGCAGTCAAAGAACATTACACGACCTACATCGTGTGCGAGTATGCATTTCCAAAATAATGCAGGGACTGACATGTGAGGGGTTAGTGTGCCAAAGAGGGTGCGTTTCTGTTTAAATGTCTGTATGATATTTAGCATCAAGTCTGGCCCCAAATAACATTTTGTTATTCCAGATGATTGTATAACATTACGTAGTGTTACATTTCACATGACTTTTATTACTCAGCCAGACTTAAGGATTACATTTTGCCTACCAATTTCCTTTGTATGCTCTAGATCAAAAATCTTCTTAAAACAAAGAAGATGTGGTAGATACATATCTCTTTGACCTTCTGCCTCCTTCTGCCTCAGTTATTCAAACAACTCCTGTGTTTGTAAATCAGGGAAAAATACTTGCCCAAGAAGGCTGATGTAAGTGCTTCATAATGGAGATATCAACAATACCTCACCCACACACACAGAGTAGGAAGGCAATGGGAACTGGAATGATTACGTTCATGTATTGGGTACAGTGTGTAAAAAAAATATTAGGCTGTTAGGGTTAAGATGACCCACTAGAGGTCCCTTCCATCCTTCTATAAAATGCACCTCTCATTCAAGGAAAAAGAATCTGACCCCAAACCAAGTGCAGTAAATGCTAAGCTTACATGTGGTAGGCACTTTTGAGAGAAGGAGGTTGATAGTTTGTATTTGACCGGAGTGTCCAAACTAATTACTGTATCCAAGTACACTATGTACATACAAGACTTAATGTCTCATTATGGGGAAAACAGTAGAAATCCATGACTTGTGACTATTCTGACTTCATGTACTTCCAGATAAGCTGTTCTTTGCAGGCACATTCTTTCTTCATTTTTTTCACTGGCTACCTAGCGTCACTGAGAGGCAACATACTTCAAGCAACAACTTTCTGTCTCAGAGTTGCTCTTATTTAACCATCGTTATCCTTGACTATTCATGTTGGGTCTGATAGTAGGTTCAGCGAAATAACTGGAAAGGATTCAGTCAGCTCACTGCCTGGATTTTGCAAGACTGAGTGCCCTTGCCCCTGGCTCCAAAAGGAGGGAAAGCTCCTCAACCTATCTCAGGATTAGGAAAAATATTTTGAACGGATCTGGAGACATGATGCTGCAGTGTCTGGGCACGCTGATAAAAATATCTAATTTCACTTTGAGGCATTACTGGGTTTCTCAGAAGTTCTTTAGCAGCTAAAGCATTTCTATAACAAATAATATGTCTGGCAATCTTTTCTTGGGACAATTTGCTATTGCTTTCCATGGGAGATTTGCCTCAGTAAATTCTGTAGAACCAGGCCTATGTCATTTTGATTATTTTTGCATGGCTATAATAATGTGCTTCAGTATTTTCATCCATTACTGGTTTAAGCCTTTGACTGAAAAAAATATCTCTAGGCTTAAGTGAGTTATTAACCATTAACTCTAGGAATGGTTTGTGGTGATATTAAAACAGGACACATGTTTGAGTGTGGTGTCTGTGTTTGTGCTGTACCCACAAACAAAACTACGTGAATGCCACTAACTGACAGCTAACTGGTTTCTTGTGTGTGTTTTACATGCCATAGCAAAGAGGGAGCTGAGAAATGCATTTTGACTGTTTAGCTTCCACTTTTTTTCCCCCCTGTCAGGATGGCATGGGGATGTTGGGAAGAACTCTAATCCTGACCTTTAAAAACAAGTGTTAGAACAATGCTAGCTTCAAAAAGAGAAAGATTATTTCTTAGCAAATCTAACTTTTTAAAAAACAAACTTGGCTTAGATCCAGGTCAGAGTTTCTTAGCCAAGGAAATATAGCATTTGACTGTACTTCAGTTATTTTCATTTTTTTTTAATTTTTGAAACTGAAGTTTGAGTCCTCTATATCCTAAGAGAAGAAAATGGTCTCAGATGAAACAATAGCTCAACAATAGTTTGCAGGAGTAAAAAACAGCTAAGCATTAATGGATTGGGAAGAATACACTGCAGCATTATCAGCAATAACATGTTCTACACAATTTGCTGTAGGAGATTTGTAATAGCTGTCTGCCTGGTGCCAAATTTAGGTGTGTCTGAAGTCACTTCACCTGGGGGATTTTTTTTGTTGCTTAAATGGCAGAGGAAGTCCTATTTGGAGGTCTTGTCCTTGTGTACGTAAGAAAACAGTTCCAAGGAAACCCATCTGAAATTAAGTTTGCCGTGTCATGTTTCCCTGTAAGTTGTCACCGGATTTTCCAACCCTCTTTCTCCAACTTGACTTGCTTTTGAACTTAGTAACAATACAGCCCTCCACAGTATGACTGAAGTGTTTCTTCCTTAGAAAATCTGATGCAAGTCCAGTGAAAGCCAGTGAGTTAGATGTGTGAGACAGCTGCTCCTACATCAACCCAGTGGCTTCTCTTCTGCACTTTGCGTAGGGGATATTAGTATAAACCATGCTGATTATTTTGGAAGGAGCAAAAAGGTCATTTCCTGAACAGACTCTCTTAGGTTACATTATCATTTATCAGAAAACATG